GATGGTGCATTTGAATTAGTCAACAAGAAAACAAAAGTTCTTCATGCACTTGTTAATAATGCTGGAATTGCTGTTGCGGGTCACATTGATTGGACATCAATGGAAGCTATGCGTAAAGTTATGGATGTAAATTACTTTGGACATGTTGCAATGACAAAGAAATTTTTACCTTTACTCATTGCTAAACGTGATTCACGTGTTGTTAATATTTGTTCTGTAGCCGGTTATCTCTCATTACCAAGTGGATCTGCTTATTGTGCATCAAAATATGCCTTTGAATCATTTTCGGATTGTCTTCGACGTGAAATGGTACCATGGGGTTTACATGTTAGTATTATTGAACCAGGATACATGCGAACATCTATTCTCGAAAGTGGTGTTAAATCATTTGAAGATTCTTGGAATCAACTGCCAAATGATGTTAAAGAGAGATGGGGAGAAGATTTTATTAAAGCTACATTTAATACTAGAAAAAACAGCCCACTTCGGAAACATGCCGAAGATCCTATGAAAGTCGTTCGTGCTCTTCAACATGCTGTTATGAATACTGTTCCTTGCATTCGTTATCGACCTGGATGGCAATCAAGTCTTTTTTTCTTTCCATTATGTAATTTACCTGCTTGGTTTGTTGATTGGTTTTGGGATAAACTAACAAAATCAACTCTTTTTCCTGCATTTGTTTCGCAACAACTTAAAGACTAAACTATTCGAGTTGATTAAATAAACAAACATTTCTAAATATAAACAAGCAAAGAACCTTTTTCATTTATTCATTAGAGATAGATATTTCGAAAATAAAGATTTTAGATTAATTAAATGAATATGTTTTATGTCAGGCATACATGTGAATTATGTATGAAGATTTCTGGTGATAGTTGTATCATATAGGATTGGTTTTGTCGTAGTCATCATGTTTGTTATGTTTATTCTTTTTCTTCGTTCTCATTATGATTTATTGTCAAAATTATTTTTATATCTTGCATATAGAATTTACTTTATATGTGCGAGAGAAGAATGATAAGGAGAAAGCTTAACTCAAGGATGTATTCGTATGGGAACTCGTATTGTATTTGAGAGGAAGTGTCTGAGAAACTCAGACATCGGTGATGGACTGACATTTCGGAATTTGCTAGATTTTTTATGTGTTATAGAGGGCAGTAAGTTTAATATTCTCTAATACTTTCAGCTGGGTCTGATCAATTTCCCCGGCTCGAACAAAAGAAGAAAAATATTAGCAGAGTTTTGGATACTTTTTAAAATGAGTTTTCACAATACTCACACCGAATTTAAAATTACTTTTTTCAGTAATAACTGCTTTCCAGCTTTGATACTTTTGACTGTCGCTATTGAGTCAGTATTCCAGACTAAGTCTAAAGAAAAAAAATCTGATTTTTTGTCATTCCTATAAAAGCTTTGTTTATTTACATGAGAAAAGTCTGTTTTGTCATTAACATGTTGGTCAATCACATTTGATGCCGCAAAGATCAATGACTGTGATATTTTTACCGATGATAGAAGCATCTGTTTCTACCATCTATAATATTTTAGAATTTCGGTCCTTTAGAAGAATGAAACCGTTTTTGTGAAAAGTCATATACTTTCTATCATTTATGAGATATGTTCGGAGATGCTGGTCTTTTTCTCATAGGCTATGCCTTCTTCTTCAATTAATATTTTTCAGTTTAGCTATTGTTTTATTGTAGATGCCATGGCAATATTAAATTTGTAGAACAAACATTTGCCATTTTATTTTTACTGGAAGAACAAGGATACGTGCAAGGTACAATTAGTTCCACTAAAGATTGAATAAAAACAAGGTTATCATCAATTTTTTATTCGCAAAAGTTAAGTTTTATCGAATACGAATTTGATTTCTCAGATTCCGTATAAAAAACTACAGTACAAAAAAAAACATGTTTTATTATCTTAATGACCAGATTTGTGAGACATTCTAGGTGGTAGAAATGGATGTCTCTCCGCCAGTATAAATATCATAGTCATTAATTGTTGCGACATGCAATGTGATTAACCGATATTTTAGTAACAAAACTCAGAAAAAAAGGGAAAGCAGACTTTTTGAATTTTTGTATGCGGAAGAACAGTGACTCAATATAGTGAAAATTAAAAATACAAGGAGTCGAAAATGACAAATATTCAAATGCGAAAGTCACTTTTGCTGAAAAATATCATCTGAGAAAATCGGTAAAAATATTTTGAAAAATCATTATACAAATTATCGAAAATTCTGCTAGTAATGTCTTGTTTGTGTAGGAGGAACTGATCAACTCGAGCGGAAAATATCAGAAAACACTAAAGTTACTAGTCTCTTTAGCACATAAAAAAATAACGTGAATTCTGAAACGTGTTTCCATCGTAGGCGTTTTATGGTGACCAGTTTTCTCAGAAACTTCCTTTTAACATGTTTACAGTTGTTTGCTGCGATATATTGAACTTTATGTTGAGAAACAGACAGTTGAACCATGGTATTGTTTCATTTTTGTCTTCATCAAAAATTCGATAATGATTTTTGAGACAAAGAAAGCAAGAAACTGATGATTATGCTTTACATGTTCTTGCAATTTCATCTATCAATGTGACATGCCTTCATGCTGAAAAACAAACTTCTACTTCGATAATAAATATCTCATCGAATTTGATAAAAACGAGACTATTTCGCGATTCTTTTTCTTGTTTGTCATTTATATCTACAATATATCGCACGATTGAACACATGATCCAAATTGTGACGATAAATACTATATATATATGTTATGGCCCAAATCAGAAGTCGTTCAGACGAAATTAGAATTCCAATTTGGACTCGACGAAATTGAAATAATTTTTCAATGAATGGAAAAAAATATAGAAAGACATAATTAAAGTACCAACAACTATTTGATTTTACAGAACTTTTTGACAAATATTATATAAATCCTAAATCAAGTTAATCCATGCTTGAATATGCACCTCTTTTTGAATGTGGTGTGGGTGTGTGATTTAACAGAAGGCCTAACCTACACATGCACACCCATTCTATATATACTGGTTATTTCTTCAATCACTTCTTCTTTGTTCTTCAATAGTTATTGAGATTGTACCTTTCTTCATTCATGGAAAATTTATTTCAATTCGTCTAGTTTAAATTGGAATTCTAATTTCGTTTGGATGCAGAGGTGGGCGACTTAGAGGTTTTTCAAGTCTCAAGTCAAGTCAAGTCAAGTCAAGTAATACCCAAAAATTTTTTCCACCAAGTCAAGTCAAGTCAAGTCAGGTTTCAAAATTTTTTCGATCAAGTCAAGTCAAGTCAAGTCTCAAAATTTTTTCAATCAAGTCAAGTCAAGTCAAGTCAGGTTTCAAAATATTTTCGATCAAGTCAAGTCAAGTCAAGTCAGGTTTCAAAATTTTTTCGATCAAGTCAAGTCAAGTCAAGTCAAGTCAAGTCCAAGTCAAGTCAAGGCAAACCAAGTTGAGTCAAACATTTATTCGACTTAATTTGACTTCATTAGTAAGAATTTTTAAACGCTTCTGACTTAACTTCGTTTGACTTGCAGGTCCAGCTGGAAGCAGAACTGGACAAGTTAGTGGTTTCTTAAGTCACACGTCAAGTCGATGCGCAAGTCAAGTCAAGTCATGATCCAAGTCAAGTCAAGTCAAGTCACGAATCAAGTCAAGTCAAGTCACGATCCAAGTCAAGTCAAACTCAAGTCAAGTCAAGACAAGTCACGATCCAAGTCAAGTCAAGTCAGGGTATTCAAAATTTTCCCCAAGTCAAGTCAAGTCAAGTCAGACTTGACTTGAAAGTAGGGTATTTTTGACTTGACTTGCCCAGCTCTGTTTGGATGAATTCTGAATTGGGCTGAATTCTAGTTTCGGTCATAACATATACTTGAATATAGAAACTAAAAAAAATGGAATTGAATTGCACGGTTGCTAGCACGAAAACAGCTGCTTTCGTGTTTATAACAAGAATAAATATTTATTAACGTAGATAACCTTCACAACTTGAACAAAACTTTGACGACATAAAACGCATCATGAGTATTGAAAAATGTTGTGACATACAAAACATTTGGTATCATGTGCACCCCACAGTTTATATTCGAATCTATATTTTCGTTAGTTATTATTAGGAAATAACTTATATGGCATATAATTGTACAGTTTCAACTTATAGATAGCCGCCAAGACATTTAGTAATTGAAAGCAATCAAGTTCTTTGAATCTATCTTATTTGTATGACAACAAATTAGCAAGTTACATGTAGACACCTATCTAAAAAATCACTGCATGAAGAAAGAAATAGAACAACTGTAGGTAGATCATCCTTTCAGTATACTATAGTGAATATAGTTCTTCAAATTTCTTATTAAGTTGACATAGGTTCAATTCTTGCTTTTTTTTTTCCACTTGCTAGAGTTTTTGGTTCACGTATCTTCCTTATCATAACAAACTGAGATTGTCCAGGCATTCTTTGTTTTAGTTATCTGAAGCAATGAGACAATTATAAACCCTCATGATACATATTAACCAGTTTGAGTGAGTGTCATTGTTATTAACACATTGCGTAGTCTAATGCAACATTTCTCATAAAAAGGAACTGACTGCTTTTTTATCAACTAAAACCAAACACGTAAGATCTCTTCATCTGAATTTGATACTATTATGTACTGTGCAATATTATTCTCATCGCTTTCTTTTTATTTTTACTTATTTCTTTATCTTTTGAAACTTCGTGAGGGAAGATGAAAAATCGACATGCATATTGATAGCTTAGTATTTTTTTTCTTCTGCGACCCACATATACGTCGGAAAAAAATACTCATAAAGAAAGAATAAAGAAATGTCATGAGTATGTATACCAAAAAATATGCTTTTGCGTTCTTTAACACAGTACTCTCGATTCGATGTTGCTATTATTCTAACCGTAGTATTAGTCTAGAAAGAGTATAAAAATAACGGTAGTTGTCTGTTTTTTTCTCTATTTGTATTTACTACTAGCTATGCTGTGCCTTCTCATTATTTTTATAGTTGTTCTTTTTTTCTCCTATCGTTTATATGAACATTTTTTTCCAACACCAAACATTAATCCTAATGGTAAATATGTTCTTATTAGTGGTTGTGATAGTGGATTCGGTAATGGATTAGCTATTGAACTTGATAAACAAGGTTTCAATGTTTTTGCTGGTGTCTTCCTTCCTGACAATGTAGCGTTTCTTAGAGAAAAACTTTCATCAAAAGCTACAGTTTTTCGTCTTGATATTACTAAACAACAAGATATTGATGGTGCATTTGAATTAGTAAACAAGAAAACAAAAGTTCTTCATGCACTTGTTAATAATGCTGGAATTGCTGTTGCGGGTCACATTGATTGGACATCAATGGAAGTTATGCATAAAGTGATGGACGTAAATTACTTTGGACATGTTGCAATGACAAAGAAGTTTTTACCGTTACTCATTGCTAAACGTGATTCACGTGTTGTTAATATTTGTTCTGTAGCTGGTTATCTCGAGTATCCGGGCTCGTCTGCCTATTGTGGATCAAAATATGCTCTTGAATCATTTTCGGATTGTCTTCGACGTGAAATGGCACCATGGGGTTTACATGTTAGTATTATTGAACCCGGTGCAATGCAAACACCTATTCTTCAATCTGGTCCTCAAACATTTTTAGAATTTTACAGTATGGTTTCCAGTGATGCTCAAGAACGATGGGGAAAACATTTTCTTAAAGGTCATTATGATAAATCAGGGAAGAATGTGTTCATCAAGTATGCTGAAGATCCTATGAAAGTCATTCGAGCTCTTCAACATGCTGTTATGAATACTGTTCCTCGTATTCGTTATCGACCTGGATGGCAATCAAGTCTTGTTTTCTTTCCGATTTCAAATTTACCTACTTGTATTGTTGATTGGCTATTGAGCAACTTAGACAAGTCTACTTATGTTCCTGCATTTGTTTCTCAACAACTGAAAGATTAAATTGTATTAGTTAGAAAAATAAAGAAACACTTTTAAACATAAACGAGCGAAGAACTTTGTTTTAATTCATTAGAAAAATATATCTTGAAAATAAGAATTTTAGATTTATGAGATCATTTACGTTAAAGTTCAACATGCATGTGAATTGGCTATGAAACATTTTTTTTCATAGATGATTATGGAATATATTTTCTCTTGTATGACGATTCACTTTATACCTGCGAGAAAACGGTTAGAAAAAGAAAATGTTCACATAAACATTTGTTTATATGGTAACTTGTATTCATTCCAAATTTTTATATTTTAATTTGCTTTTAACATGTCTATAAACACGTGTATCAATATATGGAATATTGTGGTGTGAAAAAGAAGGTTGAGCCATGATAGTAATTGATTTTTTCTTTTCATATGATATTCTATCATGACTTTTGAAAAATAGAATACAGAGAGCTGACGATTGACCTTTATATACTTTTGAATATCATCTATCAATCGCACATAATTTGGTGTTGAAAAACAAACTTCTACTTTGATACTTAATATCTCATAGAATTTTAGAATAGCTCCAATATTTGCCGGATTCCTTCTTGTTTGTCAGGTATGTCTAAAATACATGGTACGATTTAACACAAAATTCAAATTATGGAAATAGTCACTGCAGATACTTGAATATAGAAAAGAAAAACAATAAGATTAACATAGCAAGTTACCAGCGCAACGAGAGCTTCTTTCGTATGTATACCAAAATTAAATATGAATGAACGTGTATAACTTTCACAACTTAAATAAAGCTTGCGCAACATAAAACATATCATGAACATTCGAAAATGTTAAACAATACAGAACATTTGATATCATATGCGTCAGACAATCATTATTGGAATCTATATCTTCGTTAGTTACTGTGAGAAAGTAACTTATGTGGTAAAAAACTATAAACTTGCTACTTCTAAATAGAGCACTTTCCCATAAAAAAAGAACTGACTGCTTTTTTCCCAACTGAAATCAAGCACATAAGATCTATTCATCTGAATTCAATATATTTTTATATACTCTTCGATATTATAGTCATAGCTTTCGTTCTATTTTTATTTATTTCCTTATCTCTTCGAACTTTGAAAACAAAGATGAAAGATGTCAATACATATATAGACATAGTGTTTTTTCTGTGACAACATATTTATATATTAGAAAAAGAACAGGAAAAAAGCAATGATACCGAAATACCACGAGTATTTATAGAAAAACAATTTGCACTCTGCATTCTTCCACTTAATGCTCTCGATCCCACGTCGCTATTATTGTAGCAGTAGTACTAGCTTAGAAAGAGTATAAAATGTACGTTCAGTTGTGTGTTGTTTTCTCCATTTGTCTTTATTAGCTATGCTGCACGTTCTTTTTACTTTCATAATTGTCCTTTATATCTTGTATAGCTTATATCAACGTTTTTTCCGACACCAAATATCAATCCTAATGATAAATATGTTCTTATTAGTGGTTGTGATAGTGAATTTGGTCATGGATTAGCTATTGAACTTGATAAACAAGGTTTTAACGTTCTTGCTGATGTCTTCCTTCCTGACAATGTAGCGTTTCTTAGAGAAAAACTTTCATCAAAAGCTACAGTTTTTCGTCTTGATATTACTAAACAACTAGATATTGATGGTGCATTTGAATTAGTCAATAAGGAAACAAAAGTTCTTCATGCACTGGTTAATAATGCAGGGATAGCTATTTTGGGTAATATTGATTGGGCATCAATGGAAGATATGCGTAAAGTTATGGATGTGAACTATTTTGGACATGTTGCAATGACAAAAAAGTTTTTACCTTTACTTATTGCTAAACGTGATTCTCGTGTTGTTAATATTTGTTCAGTAGCTAGTTATCTTGCATCAGCAAGTATGTCTGCTTATTGTGCATTGAAATATGCTGAAGATCCTATGAAAGTTGTTCGAGCTCTTCAACATGCTGTTATGAATACAGTTCCTCGTATTCGTTATCGACCTGGATGGCAATCAAGTCTTGGTTTCTTTCCAGAATCTCATTTACCAGCCTGGGTTGTTGATTGGCTTTTGAGCAATCTAGATAAATCATTTCATGTTCCTGCATTTTTTTCTCAACAACTTAAAGACTAATTTATCATAATTAATGAAATAAAGAAATCTTTTTAAATATAAAGAATGTAAGAACGATTTTGTGATTTAAATTTAATATGTGCAAGCATTCATATAGTGGCTGCTCTTATAGTGAAAATGTAATGTTCTGTTGTGTTTTTCAAATGTCTATAAACGCGTGTATCAATATTTGAAATTTTGTGATAGGAAAAAGACGCTTGAGTCATGGTATTGGTTGACTTTTTCTCTTCGTACGGAATTGCATCATGACTTTTGAGAGATAGATTACAGGGAATTGACGATTATGCTTTTCAGGCTAATTGAATTTCATCTATAAGGTGGGACCTGACTTTATGCTGAAAAAGAAACTTCTACTTCTATACTAAATATTTCATCGAATCGTAAAATAGAGGGAACATTTTCGGTTTTTTTCCCTTGTTTTCCAGTTATGTCTAAAACTCATGATACAATTTAACAAATGATCCAAATCATGAAGATGATCATTGCAGATACTTGATTATAACAAATTAATAGAATAAAATTAATAGAGATGGTACTCGTGCAAAGATAATCGCTTGTATGGACATCTCAGGCACAAATATTCATTAACATATTTATAAGATTCACAACTGGAAGAAATTTTAGTCAAAATAAAATTCGTCATGAGAATTTTGAAATATTCTGATATATAAAACATTTGATACCATATGCTCGAAACAGTAACTAATACAATTTATTTGTTCTTTAATTACTGTAAATAATTCGAAAACAAAAAGGTGGTTATAAAATTTTATGACATATATCGAACAGTTTCAGTGCACATCATCGTTAATGACATATTACATAGTATGATACTGCATTTTCCACACAAAAGTATTGACTGATTTTTTTTTTATCATTTAATATCAAACGCATACAATGTATTCATCTAAGTTTAATTTTTTTTTTTATAAATTACCCGACATTATTCTTCACATTTCTTTTCGTTTTTACTTCTTTGTTTATCTCTTCGTACTTTGAGAAGAAAGATGAAAGATCGAAGTGTATATTGACACACACTATTTTGTCAATGACATACTATATATCAGAAAAAAAAACACAAAGAAAGAAAGGATAAAGGAGTATTACAAGTAATGCATACAATGAAATTTGCTTTGTATTCTTTCATATGCTGCTCTCGATTCGATATTCTTATCGCTTTGATAGTAATATTATATTAAAAAGAGAACACTAAAAACATTAGTTGTGTTTTTTTTTTCTTCATTTGTCTTTACAGTATCATAATGTGTCTTCTTATTGGTTTTATAATCATTCTATATATCTCCTATCGTTTATATCAACATTTTTTTCCAACACCAAACATTAATCCTAATGGTAAATATGTTCTTATTAGTGGTTGTGATAGTGGATTTGGTCATGGTTTAGCTATTGAACTTGATAAACAAGGTTTTAATGTTCTTGCTGGCGTCTTACTTCCAGACAATGTAGCATCTCTTAAAGAAAAACTTTCATCAAAAGCTACAGTTTTTCTTCTTGATATTACTAAACAAGAAGATATTGATAGTGCATTTGAATTAGTCAACAAGAAAACAACAGTTCTTCATGGACTTGTTAATAATGCTGGAATTACTGCAGGTTCATGTATTGACTGGACACCACTAGAAGTTATGCGTAAAGTGATGGATGTAAATTTTTTTGGACATGTTGCAATGACAAAAAAATTTTTACCTTTACTTATTGCTAAACGTGATTCACGTGTTGTTAATATTTGTTCTATAGCTGGTTATATCGCGTCATCTGGTATGTCTGCTTATTCAGCATCGAAATTTGCTCTTGAATCATTTTCGGATTGTCTTCGACGTGAAATGGCACCATGGGGTTTACGTGTTAGTATTATTGAACCAGGATTTATGCGAACAGCTATCATCCAAGGTGCTTATAAATCATTTCCAGATTTGTGGAGTCAACTCTCAAGTGATGTTCAAGAACGATGGGGAGAAGATTTTATTAAAGCTAGATTAGATAGGTCAAGAAACAATCCATTTGTGAAACTTGCCGAAGATCCCATGAAAGTTGTTCGAGCTCTTCAACATGCTGTTATGAATACAGTTCCTCGTATTCGTTATCGACCTGGATGGCAATCAAGTCTTTTTTTCTTTCCATTATCTAATTTACCTGTTTGGATTATCGATTGGTTTTTAGGTCAATTAAATAAATCAGCTTTTGTTCCTGCAAGTGTTAACAAACAACACAAAGATTAAAAATGATTTATTTAGAATATTTGACAAATTTTTTTTTTAATCATAAATAGAAAGAATATATATCTTTTTGATCTAATAAAAACATAGATAGAAAAAAAAAATTATTGATTTGTTTTAGAAAACGAGTTTGAATTTCAAGTAACATAGACTGAATATCAATAGTAAGTTAAAGCAATCAAATAACGTTTGGTATGAATGATTTGTCGCGAGTGTGTGCATGGCGATATGAATGAGAATCTTTTGTGTAACTTCATCCACATTTACATTAGAGATCATCATGAGGGCAGTGTTTTCTAATGCTCAGTTACATTTTTTTTTAATAAAAACTGTCATTTAAAATTGTTTAGTTAATATAAACATAAATTTTTCAGAATATATGGTATCTATGTAATTCTATCTACTGTTGATCATTTATTGAAATTTACGTATGTGATACTCATTCTAATTCACCATAATTCAATAAAAACTCTTTTGATTTCATGGAGACTTAACACTTCGTGTTAAATTATAAACATGTCCAGCAAATAATAAAATATAATGAATATTGATCTATTGCTAAATGACGATGAAAGGGTCTAATTCAAATAAATCATAGTAGTTAATCACAAATAATTCCTGTTTTTATTGACGGATATCTTGTTTTTGTATGAATATATGCTTCTAATGCCATGCACTTATGTAAAAGATTGATCTAGAAAGAATAAATAAATTAAAATGACACTATTTTTACTCGATTGTAATCTGATTTTGAAACATGAATAATTTTCTTTGGAAGTCATATACAAAGGATATGAACACTAAATTTAAACATAATTAAAAGTTTTCGTTAGGTTTCCAACTCATTCCATAGTCGACTTCAGTTTATATACTCTGGGAAACGTTCCAATATTCGATTCTTTCACTCAATCCTTATCGATTACCTTAAATTGATTTTGATTATGCGTTTTCTTTGAATAAAGAAGAATGGACTGCATGAGAATTCAAATGTTTCCAGTTAGCTACTCTGTTGTTAGCTTTTTATTATAACAAATTTGAACAAGACTTTATTGTCTTTGACTTTATCTCAATAAGTATTTTCCATTAGAGATTTCCAATTTTTCATTAAAAATCGTTTACAATCAATAGTTTTATGAAGAATGCTATATGTCACGATTCAATAGTTGCGAATAGATTATCAAAATACATACGAAAACTAATAGTTTCTAGTAGTTTTTCAGTATTACTTCATCAAGATCGTATATTTTCACGATCATTATTGGTAAAAATTGCTCTTAAAAATATTGCGCACCATATGAATGTTTGTTTGATAAGTTAATATTATTATTCCATGTCATTTTAGAAAATATGAACATTTTTTAATTCATCTCGAAAGTCTCGAAGAAAGAAACTGAGTCCCTAATTATAAAATAGTCGAACTGATTCTCTTACGAATCAATATGAATGTTAAAAAATGGTCAAATTGTTGCTAGGAAGAAATAATATAAGTAATCATGTGAAATGATCATAAAATGTTTTAAAAAAAGATTTTCATGAATTCTCAGACTTAATGATTATTGGTAATGCATAATAAATATTGTCATGACTTTTTTTCTTTTTTTTTATAAAGAATAAGGATTAAATAATCAGAATATGGCAACACTATTGACAATGTTAGAGGATTTATATTTGAAGGAAAAAGATGAATCAGCTATTCTACTGAAATAGAATTTCAGAGTTTTTTTGTATTTATCAAATCTAGCAATTTTTTAAAAGACTTCTGCAATAGTCAATAATAAATACTATGAATATATCATTGACTTTGATATATAGTCACAGACGATATGTCAATAATGGTAAAGAAATATGTCCAAAAATAGATAGAATAAAACAATTTCCTTGTGATTAGCAACAGTAGTTACGCCATATTTTACATTTCAGTCTTCCTTTTCTTCAAACAACGATTCAATTGTTAGCAATAAAAATAGAATTTACAATCAATTCAGTTTCATATATTTATTAATTGTTATACTTAAACCAAAACAAAAAAAAAGCAAACAAAAAAGAACCTTCTTCAAATTCAATTATAGCAATATTAAATAATACAAATTTTAGTTCATTTGTTGATTATGTACACCAGTTGGTGTCGAATTGACTTCTAAATTTAGAAGTTTATCTATGAAATAGGCGGGACAAATGCGAACAAATCGAACAAATAATTTTGATTGCCAATCAGGTTGATAACGAATACGAGGATTAGTATTCATAACAGCATGTTTAATTACTCGTATAACTTTCGTCGAATCATCAAAATTGAATACTAATGGCTGATTGTTTGTTTGTCTGATTATATTCTGTAAAAAATTAATTCCCCATCGTTCTTGAACATCATTTGAAAGTTCATCTAATAATTTTCTTATATGATCTTCTGGATTTTCAAGAAAACGTGTTCTTATCGTAAACCGTTCTATTATACTAACACGTAAATTCCATGGAGCCATTTCACGACGAAGACAATCAGAAAATGATTCAAGAGCATATTTCGATGCTGAATAAGCAGCTGTACCTCTTAAACTTACAATACCAGATATAGAAGATAAGTTTACAACACGTGAATCCTGTTTAGCAATAAGTAAAGGAATAAACTTTTTTGTTATTGCAACATGTCCAAAAAAATTCACATCCATTACTTTACGCATTACTTCTAATGAAGTCCAATCAATATAGCTACCAGCAATTATTTCAGTATTATTAATAAGTGCATGAAGAATTTCTGTTTTGTTT